CTTCGTATATGTTTTGTCATGATTTCTTTCGTAAATGATTTGTCGAAACTTCTTCATCGTAATGAGTGTAAGTATGTTTTGTCATGATTTCTTCATCGTACAATGTTTTGTCGAAACTTCTTCATCGTAATGAGCGTAATATGCTTTGTCATGATTTCTTCATCGTAATGAGTGTAAATGTGTTTTGTCGAAATCTTCATCGTACATGTTTTGTCGAAACTTCTTCATCGTAATGAGTGTAAATGTTTTGTCATGATTTCTTCATCGTAATGAGTGAATGAGTGTAAATGTTTTGTCGAAACTTCTTCATCGTAATGAGCGTATATGCTTTGTCAAACATGAGCGTAAATGTTTTGTCAAGACTTCTTCATCGTAATGAGCGTAAATGTTTTGTCATGACTTCTTCATCGTAATGAGCGTATATGCTTTGTCAAACATGAGCGTAAATGTTTTGTCATGATTTCTTCATCGTAATGAGTGTAAATGATCCAAAAATAATGTTTAGGGTAGATGGTTAGATCTAACCTCATTTCTACCCTCATGAATTTTCATACGGAATCTCTTCGTATATGTTTTGTCATGACTTCTTCATCGTAAATGTTTTGTCATGACTTCTTCATCGTAATGAGCGTAAAATGATCCAAAAATAATGTTTAGGGTAGATGGTTAGATCTAAACCTCATTTCTACCCTCATTTCTACCCTCATGAATTTTCATACGGAATCTCTTCGTACATGTTTTGTCATGACTTCTTCATCGTAATGAGCGTATATGTTTTGTCATGATTTCTTCATCGTAATGAGCGTATATGTTTTGTCATGATTTCTTCATCGTACATGTTTTGTCGAAATTCATCGTATATGTTTTGTCATGACTTCTTCATCGTAATGAGTGTAATGTTTTGTCATGATTTCTTCATCGTAATGAGCGTATATGTTTTGTCATGATTTCTTCATCGTACATGTTTTGTCGAAACTTCTTCATCGTAACGAGCGTATATGCTTTGTCATGATTTCTTCATCGTATATTTTGTCATGATTTCTTCATCGTACATGTTTTGTCATGACTTCTTCATCGTATATGAGTGTAATGTTTTGTCAAACATGAACGTAAATATTTTGTCAAACATGAACGTAAATGTTTTGTCATGACTTCTTCATCGTAATGAGTGTAAATGTTTTGTCATGATTTCTTCATCGTAATGAGCGTATATGTTTTGTCATGATTTCTTCATCGTACATGTTTTGTCGAAACTTCTTCATCGTAACGAGCGTATATGCTTTGTCATGATTTCTTCATCGTATATGTTTTGTCATGACTTCTTCATCGTAAATGTTTTGTCATGACTTCTTCATCGTAATGAGCGTAAATGATCCAAAAATAATGTTTAGGGTAGATGGTTAGATCTAACCTCATTTCTACCCTCATTTCTACCCTCATGAATTTTCATACGGAATCTCTTCGTACATGTTTTGTCATGACTTCTTCATCGTAATGAGCGTATATGTTTTGTCATGATTTCTTCATCGTAATGAGCGTAAATGATCCAAAAATAATGTTTAGGGTAGATGGTTAGATCTAACCTCATTTCTACCCTCATTTCTACCCTCATGAATTTTCATACGGAATCTCTTCGTATATGTTTTGTCATGACTTCTTCATCGTAAATGTTTTGTCATGACTTCTTCATCGTAATGAGCGTAAATGATCCAAAAATAATGTTTAGGGTAGATGGTTAGATCTAACCTCATTTCTACCCTCATTTCTACCCTCATGAATTTTCATACGGAATCTCTTCGTATATGTTTTGTCATGACTTCTTCATCGTACATGTTTTGTCATGATTTCTTCATCGTAATGAGCGTAAATGATCCAAAAATAATGTTTAGGGTAGATGGTTAGATCTAACCTCATTTCTACCCTCATTTCTACCCTCATGAATTTTCATACGGAATCTCTTCGTACATGTTTTGTCATGACTTCTTCATCGTAATGAGCGTATATGTTTTGTCATGATTTCTTCATCGTAATGAGCGTATATGTTTTGTCATGATTTCTTCATCGTACATGTTTTGTCGAAACTTCATCGTATATGTTTTGTCATGACTTCTTCATCGTAATGAGTGTAAATGTTTTGTCATGATTTCTTCATCGTAATGAGCGTATATGTTTTGTCATGATTTCTTCATCGTACATGTTTTGTCGAAACTTCTTCATCGTAACGAGCGTATATGCTTTGTCATGATTTCTTCATCGTATATGTTTTGTCATGATTTCTTCATCGTACATGTTTTGTCATGACTTCTTCATCGTAATGAGTGTAAATGTTTTGTCAAACATGAACGTAAATATTTTGTCAAACATGAACGTAAATGTTTTGTCATGACTTCTTCATCGTAATGAGTGTAAATGTTTTGTCATGATTTCTTCATCGTAATGAGCGTATATGTTTTGTCATGATTTCTTCATCGTACATGTTTTGTCGAAACTTCTTCATCGTAACGAGCGTATATGCTTTGTCATGATTCTTCATCGTATAGTTTTGTCATGACTTCTTCATCGTAAATGTTTTGTCATGACTTCTTCATCGTAATGAGCGTAAATGATCCAAAAATAATGTTTTAGGGTAGATGTTAGATCTAACCTCATTTCTACCCTCATTTCTACCCTCATGAATTTTCATACGGAATCTCTTCGTACATGTTTTGTCATGACTTCTTATCGTAATGAGCGTATATGTTTTGTCATGATTTCTTCATCGTAATGAGCGTAAATGATCAAAAATAATGTTTAGGGTAGATGGTTAGATCTAACCTCATTTCTACCCTCATTTCTACCCTCATGAATTTTACGGAATCTCTTCGTATATGTTTTGTCATGACTTCTTCATCGTACATGTTTTGTCATGATTTCTTCATCGTAATGAGCGTAAATGATCCAAAAATAATGTTTAGGGTAGATGGTTAGATCTAACCTCATTTCTACCCTCATGAATTTTCATACGGAATCTCTTCGTATATGTTTTGTCATGACTTCTTCATCGTAAATGTTTTGTCATGACTTCTTCATCGTAATGAGCGTAAATGATCCAAAAATAATGTTTAGGGTAGATGGTTAGATCTAACCTCATTTCTACCCTCATTTCTACCTCATGAATTTTTCATACGGAATTCTTCGTATATGTTTTTGTCATGACTTCTTCATCGTAAATGTTTTGTCATGACTTCTTCATCGTAATGAGCGTAAATATCCAAAAATAATGTTTAGGGTAGATGGTTAGATCTAACCTCATTTCTACCTCATTTCTACCCTCATGAATTTTCATACGGAATCTCTTCGTAATGTTTTGTCATGACTTCTTCATCGTAATGAGCGTATATGTTTTGTCATGATTTCTTCATCGTAATGGAGCGTATATGTTTTGTCATGATTTCTTCATCGTACATGTTTTGTCGAAACTTCATCGTATATGTTTTGTCATGACTTCTTCATCGTAATGAGTGTAAATGTTTTGTCATGATTTCTTCATCGTAATGAGCGTATATGTTTTGTCATGATTTCTTCATCGTACATGTTTTGTCGAAACTTCTTCATCGTAACGAGCGTATATGCTTTGTCATGATTTCTTCATCGTATATGTTTTGTCATGACTTCTTCATCGTACATGTTTTGTCATGACTTCTTCATCGTAATGAGTGTAAATGTTTTGTCAAACATGAACGTAAATGTTTTGTCAAACATGAACGTAAATGTTTTGTCAAACATGAGCGTAAATGATCCAAAAATAATGTTTAGGGTAGATGGTTAGATCTAACCTCATTTCTACCCTCATTTCTACCCTCATGAATTTTCATACGGAATCTCTTCGTATATGTTTTGTCATGATTTCTTCGTAAATGATTTGTCGAAACTTCTTCATCGTAATGAGTGTAAATGTTTTGTCATGATTTCTTCATCGTACATGTTTTGTCGAAACTTCTTCATCGTAATGAACGTATATGCTTTGTCATGATTTCTTCATCGTAATGAGTGTAAATGTTTTGTCGAAACTTCATCGTACATGTTTTGTCGAAACTTCTTCATCGTAATGAGTGTAAATGTTTTGTCGAAACTTCATCGTACATGTTTTGTCATGACTTCTTCATCGTAATGAGCGTATATGCTTTGTCAAACATGAGCGTAAATGTTTTGTCAAGACTTCTTCATCGTAATGAGCGTAAATGTTTTGTCATGACTTCTTCATCGTAATGAGCGTATATGCTTTGTCAAACATGAGCGTAAATGTTTTTGTCATGATTCTTCATCGTAATGAGTGTAAATGTTTTGTCATGACTTTCTTCATCGTAATGAGCGTATATGCTTTGTCAAACATGAGCGTAAATGTTTGTCATGATTTCTTCATCGTAATGAGTGTAAATGTTTTGTCATGATTTCTTCATCGTAATGAGCGTATATGCTTTGTCAAACATGAGCGTAAATGTTTTGTCATGATTTCTTCATCGTAATGAGTGTAAATGTTTTGTCATGATTTCTTCATCGTAATGAGCGTATATGCTTTGTCAAACATGAGCGTAAATGTTTTGTCAAGACTTCTTCATCGTAATGAGCGTAAATGTTTTGTCATGACTTCTTCATCGTAATGAGCGTATATGCTTTGTCAAACATGAGCGTAAATGTTTTGTCATGATTTCTTCATCGTAATGAGTGTAAATGTTTTGTCATGACTTCTTCATCGTAATGAGCGTATATGCTTTGTCAAACATGAGTGTACATGTTTTATCATGATTTCATCGTACATGTTTTGTCAAAACTTCATCGTAAATGTTTTGTCATGATTTCATCGTAATGAACGTAAATGTTTTGTCAAAACTTCATCGTACATGTTTTGTCATGATTTCATCGTAATGAACGTAAATGTTTTGTGAAGAATATAACAACCGCCTGAATTCAGACGGTTGCTTTTTATACAAAATTCACACAGGAAAATTCTTGAGTTTTGGATGAAAGAATACGGTCGAGCCAAAAGTGGCTCAACCTCAAAACAAACATTTTATGAGCTTACTAAGGCATTTATGAATGAATTCAAAGGTATTTGCATACATCCTGACCTCGTTCATTTTGTTGCTGAATGGTGCTCTGTAAAGTATGCATTTTATGTCAAATATATTATGGACTCCATAGATAAGAAAGTTCATGAGAAGTTAGATGAAGAAGAACTCGAAGATACAGTAGAGAATGCAAAACATTTTTGACGAAGTGAAGATCTTCACTTCGTCAAAATGTGATGCAAAAACAAGCATTTTATGAGCTTACTAAGGCATTTATGAATGAATTCAAAGGTATTTGCATACATCCTGACCTCGTTCATTTTGTTGTTGAATTCAGCAAAAATAATGTTTACGTTAATGTTTTCACTGTTACCATGTTACCATGTGCTACCAGGTTAATTAACTTCTCTTAAAATTACTGACAACATGACATTTAGACAACAGTCCAGGAAATAAACTTCTTCGTAAATGTTTTGTCATGATTTCATCGTATATGTTTTGTCAAGGTTTCATCGTATATGCTTTGTCAAACATGAACGTATATGTTTTGTCATGATTTCTTCGTATATGTTTTGTCATGATTTCATCGTAAATGTTTTGTCATGATTTCATCGTAAATGATTTGTCATGATTTCTTCGTTTATGTTTTGTCAAAACTTCTTCGTACATGTTTTGTCATGACTTTTTCATCGTAATGAGCGTAAATCAGACAAAAATATATTTTAGGTGAAGAGGTGAGATCTCACCTCTTTTCTCACCTCTTTTCTCACCTCATGAATTTTCATGATTTCTTCATCGTAATGAGCGTATATGTTTTGTCAAAACTTCTTCGTATATGTTTTGTCGTGATTTCTTCGTATATGTTTTGTCAAAACTTCTTCGTTTATGTTTTGTCATGACTTCATCGTATATGTTTTGTCATGACTTCATCGTAATGAGTGTAAATGATTTCATATAATTGCTTACCTCGGAAAACCGAGAGAAGAGATTCCATATGAAAATCGCAAGAATTTGGCTCCTGGTTTGAAATATTATTATGTTCATAGACTTCATCGTATATGCTTTGTCAAACATGAGCGTACATGTTTTGTCATGACTTCATCGTATATGTTTTGTCATGATTTCATCGTATATGCTTTGTCAAGACTTCTTCGTATATGTTTGTCATGACTTCATCGTATATGTTTTGTCAAGACTTCTTCGTATATGTTTTGTCATGACTTCTTCGTATATGTTTTTCAAACATGAACGATATGTTTTTGTCATGACTTCTTCGTATATGTTTTGTCATGACTTCTTCGTATATGTTTTGTCAAACATGAACGTATATGTTTTGTCATGACTTCATCGTATATGTTTTGTCAAACATGAACGTATATGCTTTGTCATGATTTCATCGTATATGTTTTGTCATGATTTCATCGTAAATGTTTTGTCATGACTTCATCGTATATGCTTTGTCATGACTTCATCGTAAATGTTTTGTCATGATTTCATCGTATATGTTTTGTCATGATTTCATCGTAAATGTTTTGTCATGATTTCATCGTAAAGTTTTTGTCATGATTTTCATCGTAAATGTTTTGTCATATTTCATCGTAAATGTTTTGTCATGACTTCATCGTATATGTTTTGTCATGACTTCATCGTAAATTTTTGTCATGATTTCATCGTAAATTTTTGTCATGATTAATCGTATATGTTTTGTCAAACATGAACGTATATGTTTTGTCAAAACTTCTTCGTATATGTTTTGTCATGATTTCTTCGTTTATGTTTTGTCAAAACTTCATCGTATATGTTTTGTCATGACTTCATCGTAATGAGTGTAAATGATTTCATATAATTGCTTACCTCGGAAAACCGAGAGAAGAGATTCCATATGAAAATCGCAAGAATTTGGCTCCTGGTTTGAAATATTATTATGTTCATAGACTTCATCGTAAATGTTTTGTCAAACATGAACGTAAATGATTTGTCAAACATGAACGTAAATGTTTTGTCATGATTTCTTCATCGTAATGAGTGTAAATGTTTTGTCAAACATGAACGTAAATGATTTGTCATGATTTCATCGTAAATGTTTTGTCAAACATGAACGTATATGCTTTGTCAAACATGAGCGTAAATGTTTTGTCAAGACTTCTTCATCGTATATGTTTTGTCATGACTTCTTCATCGTAATGAGCGTAAATGATCCAAAAATAATGTTTAGGGTAGATGGTTAGATCTAACCTCATTTCTACCCTCATTTCTACCCTCATGAATTTTCATACGGAATCTCTTCGTATATGTTTTGTCATGACTTCTTCATCGTAAATGTTTTGTCATGACTTCTTCATCGTAATGAGCGTAAATGATCCAAAAATAATGTTTAGGGTAGATGGTTAGATCTAACCTCATTTCTACCCTCATTTCTACCCTCATGAATTTTCATACGGAATCTCTTCGTATATGTTTTGTCATGACTTCTTCATCGTAAATGTTTTGTCATGACTTCTTCATCGTAATGAGCGTAAATGATCCAAAAATAATGTTTAGGGTAGATGGTTAGATCTAACCTCATTTCTACCCTCATTTCTACCCTCATGAATTTTCATACGGAATCTCTTCGTACATGTTTTGTCATGACTTCTTCATCGTAATGAGCGTATATGTTTTGTCATGATTTCTTCATCGTAATGAGCGTATATGTTTTGTCATGATTTCATCGTAAATGTTTTGTCATGATTTCATCGTAAATGATTTGTCATGATTTCTTCGTTTATGTTTTGTCAAAACTTCTTCGTACATGTTTTGTCATGACTTTTTCATCGTAATGAGCGTAAATCAGACAAAAATATATTTTAGGTGAAGAGGTGAGATCTCACCTCTTTTCTCACCTCTTTTCTCACCTCATGAATTTTCATGATTTCTTCATCGTAATGAGCGTATATGTTTTGTCAAAACTTCTTCGTATATGTTTTGTCGTGATTTCTTCGTATATGTTTTGTCAAAACTTCTTCGTTTATGTTTTGTCATGACTTCATCGTATATGTTTTGTCATGACTTCATCGTAATGAGTGTAAATGATTTCATATAATTGCTTACCTCGGAAAACCGAGAGAAGAGATTCCATATGAAAATCGCAAGAATTTGGCTCCTGGTTTGAAATATTATTATGTTCATAGACTTCATCGTATATGCTTTGTCAAACATGAACGTAAATGTTTTGTCATGACTTCTTCGTATATGTTTTGTCATGATTTCATCGTATATGCTTTGTCAAAACTTCTTCGTATATGTTTTGTCATGACTTCATCGTAAATGTTTTGTCAAGACTTCTTCGTATATGTTTTGTCATGACTTCTTCGTATATGCTTTGTCAAACATAAACGTAAATGTTTTGTCATGACTTCTTCGTATATGTTTTGTCATGACTTCATCGTAAATGTTTTGTCATGATTTCATCGTAAATGTTTTGTCATGATTTAATCGTATATGTTTTGTCAAACATGAACGTATATGTTTTGTCAAAACTTCTTCGTATATGTTTTGTCATGATTTCTTCGTTTATGTTTTGTCAAAACTTCTTCGTATATGTTTTGTCATGACTTCATCGTAGGAGTGTAAATGATTTCATATAATTGCTTACCTCGGAAAAACCGAGAGAAGAGATTCCATATGAAAATCGCAAGAATTTGGCTCCTGGTTTGAAATATTTATTATGTTCATAGACTTCATCGTAAATGTTTTGTCAAACATGAACGTAAATGATTTGTCAAACATGAACGTAAATGTTTTGTCATGATTTCTTCATCGTAATGAGTGTAAATGTTTTGTCAAACATGAACGTAAATGATTTGTCATGATTTCATCGTAAATGTTTTGTCAAACATGAACGTATATGCTTTGTCAAACATGAGCGTAAATGTTTTGTCAAGACTTCTTCATCGTATATGTTTTGTCATGACTTCTTCATCGTAATTTTTGTCATGACTTCTTCATCGTAATGAGCGTAAATGATCCAAAAATAATGTTTAGGGTAGATGGTTAGATCTAACCTCATTTCTACCCTCATTTCTACCCTCATGAATTTTCATACGGAATCTCTTCGTACATGTTTGTCATGACTTCTTCGTAAATGATTTGTCGAAACTTCTTCATCGTAATGAGCGTATATGTTTTGTCATGATTTCTTCATCGTAATGAGCGTAAATGATCCAAAAATAATGTTTAGGGTAGATGGTTAGATCTAACCTCATTTCTACCCTCATTTCTACCCTCATGAATTTTCATACGGAATCTCTTCGTACATGTTTTGTCATGACTTCTTCATCGTAATGAGCGTATATGTTGTCATGATTTCTTCATCGTAATGAGCGTATATGTTTTGTCATGATTTCTTTCATCGTAATGAGCGTAAATGATCCAAAATAATGTTTAGGGTAGATGGTTAGATCTAACCTCATTTCTACCTTCATTTCTACCCTCATGAATTTTCATACGGAATCTCTTCGTACATGTTTTGTCATGACTTCTTCATCGTAATGAGCGTATATGTTTTGTCATGATTTCTTCATCGTAATGAGCGTATATGTTTTGTCATGATTTCTTCATCGTACATGTTTTGTCGAAACTTCATCGTATATGTTTTGTCATGACTTCTTCATCGTAATGAGTGTAAATGTTTTGTCATGATTTCTTCATCGTAATGAGCGTATATGTTTTGTCATGATTTCTTCATCGTACATGTTTTGTCGAAACTTCTTCATCGTAATGAGCGTATATGCTTTGTTCATGAATTTCTTCATCGTATATGTTTTGTCATGATTTCTTCATCGTATATGTTTTGTCATGAATTCTTCATCGTACAGTTTGATGACTTCTTCATCGTAATGAGTGTAAATGTTTTGTCAAACATGAACGTAAATGTTTTGTCAAACATGAACGTAAATGTTTTGTCATGATTTCTTCATCGTAATGAGTGTAAATGTTTTGTCAAACATGAACGTAAATGATTTGTCATGATTTCATCGTAAATGTTTTGTCAAACATGAACGTATATGCTTTGTCAAACATGAGCGTAAATGTTTTGTCAAGACTTCTTCATCGTATATGTTTTGTCATGACTTCTTCATCGTATATGTTTTGTCATGACTTCTTCATCGTAATGAGCGTAAATGATCCAAAAATAATGTTTAGGGTAGATGGTTAGATCTAAC